AGACATACCTGGCCTATCAGGATCTCAAGATCCTGGCGAGAAGGCCTGCCGACCTAGACTACATCTATTATTCGCTCGCAACCGGTGGGGCTCGTTGGGGAGACGAGAGGGTTCAGCTTATAGAGCTGATCCGCTCGATAGACGACGAGTGGCCCCAGTCTCCGTGCGTTTGGGATTGGCTAGACCGTGAGCTCCGAGCAGGCCCCGAGTACGTGACCTGCATCGGGCGGCTCTTCTCAGACAACTGGGAGACTTGGTGGGGTGAGGACGCCGGGCGACCTCTGATATACGGCCATCAGTTGGCGCAATACTACCAGGGTATAGGACAGGCGCTATACCGCGTCGAGGACGAATTTGGCGACGAGGGTTGGGAGCGAGAGGACGACGAGGACGTCTGGGAGCCAGACTGGGTCGACCAAAAGAGTGAGGTTGACGAGGAGGAGATTGACGTTACAGACGCCCATTTTTCCAAAATAGGAGTAGCAGTCCGGGCGTAGGAGGTAGAGGAGCACATTAGGGCGACGATTGAGTGAGCTTGGCTATTGATCCTACTCGACCATACTGGATCTGAGTGCGAGAGTTGTCTGAAGGGTTAGCAACGTCGAGAGATGGGGTGCATCGGAGGAAGTAGAGTGATGCTAACCGAGAGTAGGAGGAGAGATGAGGAGTGATTCAGTGGCCTGGTTAGCTTATGTTCTCTCACGAGAATCCGAATCGTATAGTGTGAGGAAGCTTGTGGGACCCAGAGAGACAGCGATTGGATACGACATACCACTTCCTGTGGCGTTTAAAGAAGCAGGGCGTGTACCGATACGATACTTGGGAACGTGGCTCGCAGAGGGGCTCTTCCTTTGGACAGTGATACTACTAGACGAACGACCCGAGACGACTCATGATCTAGAAGGGGTCGGACATCTGATAGAGGATAGAGCCCACGATTTAGAGATAGGACTGACGCTCGCAGGGGCGAGCAGGAGTTGGTGGAGAAGTGAGTCGTTGGCCAGAGTGATCATGAATCAACAACTGGCGAGACTCTCTAGAGGGAGGACGAGTTGGAGCTGCTTGGTGTACGGTCCACCACATCCGACCCTCTTCCCGAGAAAGGATTGACGATTCAGACTTCCTACCCTCGTGATAGGGCAAACCAATGGGAGCGTGGATCATTTGAGTAGAGCAGTGGACCACACAGTTTACGCGCTCTAGGAGGGCTTAGCGCCCCGCTTCAAGGAAGTATACTACGCCATTTGTGTGAGGTGGGGCCCGTCCAGTAGAGAGATGCTTGACGACATCATAGACGTAACTGGCTGGGTGGACTGTCTGAGGCCAATCGATCTGATTTGGTACTGCAAGAGATGGGCAGAGATCGATTTCGCGGGGCTAGAGGATGTGAGATTTCTCTTTGAGGCCGCAGCTTAGGGAATGCCGGGAAGGACGGCCACGGTGATGCGTGTAGGAGAGCAACTGGTAAGAGCAGGATACACTATGACAGTACTTCTCCGAGCGTACGTAGACGAGGACTTGACAGCGAGTGAGTGCAGACAACGAGCCAGGGATTTGATCCACGAGCGTAGAGCTGATGTACTGGCGCGAGTGACCTTCCAGACCTCGATTTCCTATGATGTGATGATATGGTCTCATGGTTATATGCGCGCGGAGCACTACCACGATGAGATGRTRGCGGAGGCTAGAGCGAGGGTGAGAGGGTGAGCTGGAAAAAGATGTGGACTGAGTATGRAAGAGRAGAGTGMGGCAGTCGGAAGAGTGMGAAAGCGYGTTAAAGAACCACTCTTGAACCAGGTAAAGAAGTTGGAGAACAAGTTAAGGGAGATCTGGTCGTGCCAGGACGAGGGCAAGTTGCGTAGGGCTGAACTCGTGACAAGAGAGTTAGMCAATCTGTTTAGGGAAGAAAGARAGWTTATCCAGGCGTGGAGATCAGACTTTCTGGAGAGGGTAARGGCTAGAAGCGTATCACGCGAGGAAATAAGTGAGCGATCTGCAGAGAGCGAGACAWCGGAAGGCAAAGTAACGCAGGGAAGTAGCGACAGGACATGAGCGGGACTGCACTACACACGACGGATCGGTACTCATTATATGTGGTAGGGAGACTGGACGGACCATTGGTGTTAGTGATCATAAAACTCCAGCTCCATACCAGACTGTGCATAGTTCAGGAGGCAGAGTGTGTCCACCGCTCGCTCCGTGAGGTTAGGGGAACAGGACTTTGGATTAGAATAGAAGGAGGACGGAGGATAAAATACGTACTCCAAGAGACACCTTTCGAAGGGCGGTCTCGGATAAGGTCATGGTACGAGACGACCAAAGAGGCTGAGAGGTTGAAGATAAGCGAAGTCAAGAAAGCTGGAGAGTTAGGGAGAGTTGTAACAGATGGTGCAATACTCAGGGTGTTAGCCGCTCACGACCAGTACTGGAAGGAATCGATAAAGACTTTAGAGGCGATAGAGGATGGTGGAGATAAGGAGGAGTTTGAGATATTTTATGACATATTGGAGCAGTCGGCGATGAGGTTACAAGTGGTTATAGCACTAACTTACCTCAGCTGTTAGACAGATGACCTCGYAGCCGTCTKGGAGATAAGGTAGTGGAAATAGAAATTAGAACCTCATGGAAGGATAGTGGAAGCTAGAAAGGTCGATGGGAAAGWAGGGGAAAATCTYAGAGGTCGAGCGTTGTACTGTCTTCATCGGACATTTGTCCAAAGGTAGGCAAAAGAGTATACTTAGAGATCTTCCGCGCGACAGGCTTGATTTCCCTGAAGTCCTAAAGCTCGCGATAAAGGTAGAGGCAGACGATTATAAGGACTTGGTGTGGAGAGGGATGAGGAGACGTGACTTCTCTCTCTATAAGGAGTATGCCACTGATACATGTCCTGATTTCAAGGACTATCCCTGGTCGGAGAAGAATGAGGCCATGGCTGAGGAAGTGAAGGAGATACGGGACATGGTGAAGGGATTGACGAGACAGGTTACAGAGATTGTGTCCACTACAGGGGCCAAGGTCTACCGGGACAAACCTGGAGGGCCCTATTCACTTCGCTGGGACCGTAGGAACAACGATTCTTGGAGGAGTGTCCAAGATAGAAATCCTCGGACGCTGACTGATTATCGTACGAGGGGAAGAGAGAGAGACGATGAGCCATGGCGGCGTAGGGACGATGAAATAGACCGAGACCGCAGAGATCGCGAGCCGTTTGCGCGAGCATGGAGGCTGGATGATTACCGGCGAAGCCCTCGCTATGAGGCCGATCGAGGTAGAGGCGACTCCCGCGGCCGATGGGAGACAGATCAGGGCCGACGAGATGGATATAGGGACGACAGATACGAGCGATCGGACCGAGATGGGTATAGGGACGACAGATACGAGAGGTCGGGTCGAGATGGCTACGGAGGAGGTAGGTATGAAAGAGGAGATCGGGACTGGGAATGACGAGATGGGTCGCGCGGACGGTTTGAGCGTGAGGAAGATGCGAGAGAGCAGCGCGAGGAGTCGCGGGGGTAGTACAACCGAGGAGACCGCCGCAACGATTCGCGCGGTCGGAATGAGAGAGGGGGATATGGCGTCTCATCABAACCATATCCCAAGTCGCCTGACCCCAAGGCAGCCAGAAGTTCGATCTCGAGGAGCGCAGACGACAGACCATCTACTCCCAGGAACTCATGCGTTTACTGTAGAGGAGAAAATCATATCACGAGGGATTGCCCGGACCTCAAACGGGCAATAGATGAGGGACTTGTCGTGCTTGACGACCACAAGTACGTCAAGTGGGCAGATGGTCTGGGAGATGTATCAATGTTCCCTTCGGTGAAGGAGAATGTCGAAGCACGGAGAGTAAGGCCGAGTAAAGAAAAGGAGTCGGTCAGGAACCAGAGCATCAAGATAACCTTTGAGGGCGATATGGTGACCACACCCATAAGGGCACCCATAAGGGTGGCAGCCACCAAGTCGGCGAGAGGGTCTACATCGAAGAAGACTGACACGGATTATGCGATGACAGAGAAGGACGGGCAGCGGGTCGATGGGGAGGAGGTTATCCTTTCGCCGCGAAAGCGGGGAGTGAAAAAGTTCTTAATGAAGAGTTCGCTGGACGAGATTGACACGGTCGAACCACTGAGGCGGGCCCTTGCAGTGCTCTATTCTGGAGTACTTGGCGGCATCGAAGCCGGCTCGTGATGAGTTACAGATGATCACGCGGAAGACTCGCATACCTCTATCGAAGGAGGGTCAGGGGCCCCTAAGGCGGAAGCTCCTACAGTAGCAGTAACGGGGGTGACGCCAGAGCAGATCGCATGGCGACAGTCCTTCTCGATGGAAGGGAAGGTGTGCCTCCAGACAAGTTTTATATACTTGGTAGCGGGGCCGTGAAGACGATTATAAACGATGGAGCGATACTCGATGCTGTGATCGATAACGGCAGTGAGGCTGTCATCATAGACGAGGACCTGGCAGTACAGGTTGGACTGGGCCTCGATAGGTCATACCTATTCGAGATAGAGACGACTGATGGGAGAAAGCAACAGATCACTGGGGTTTGTCACAAGGCASCCATAGMGGTCCAAGGGGTACRAGTGACCCTGCCTGTCTTTGCAGTCAAGAACTGCAGCTCCGACCTRCTCTTGGGTCGAACGTGGCTGAGCCACGTGCATGCGGTAACGATAGAGCGACCTGATGGRAGCCAAACATTGTCCATTAGGAAGCCASACGGGACGCGGGTAATGGTTGAGACAGTGGAGCCTCGGGACCCGAGGAACAGAGCGGCTCTCGCTGTGGGTGCGACACCCAGTGAACAAATTAAGTCGTTACCTATCTCC